AAAGTTGCTACCTTCTGCCTGCCGCAGAGCTGATGACCACTTCTCCAAAGCTAGAGGCAATTATCTTGAGTCACTCTTAGGGGCTGCACAATAAGGGAGGAGTGGTTTTCCTTTTGTCACTTTGTATTTATATAGAGGAGCTTTGAAACACCAGAGAAGGGATCTGCAGCAACACTGCTGCTCCAGACCCCACAGATGTTCTAAGCTGGAAGTTGGTGGCCCTCAGATGTTGGTCCTACCACATGCCTTCCAGATGCTCCTTCCCTTCCACTGCTTGTCCTTCATGTGCCTTGTCTGCTCTCTTCTGCCCCCTCTGAGGCCCCACTTACACCTGCTCTTCTTCCTGAGACCTAAAGTTGGGAATTCTAAACACGTTGAATGCTTTCCTTATTGAGTTTACTCCTTCTACTGAGTGCTGGCTCTGGGTGACTTAGACGAGAACCTTGCTCCTCCTAACTTCCCTGGCTTCTGCGGGAAAGGGGAAGAGCTTACTCTCCAGTGCCACATGTAGACCAAAACCCCAAGAACCATCTTTGTGTTTCTCACTCATTCTTGTGATTTGCTCAGGTCAAGTACTCTGCTTGCATCCTTGCCATGTTCTAGCATCAGCTATTCTTTACTTGGATACTGGTCCCTGGAGCTCATTCATTCTTGCCCTCTTTACAGGAACCTCTATGATATTCTGCATGACAACTCTTAGAGCGGCCTCTTCTAAGGTCACTTCCTTTGCATCCTTTCTTGTACCCTACATAGCATCCACACACCCATTCTGCTTTCTTTCTCTGCTTTAAAACCATTCACCACTCATTTTCCATTTAGTTCTTTCCATGCTTGTCCCTAGAATTATCTACATAGAGTTGTATTAGGCAAGCCCAGGCCAAAGACAGGAACCACATCAGGTATTTTAACAGAAAAAAAAATTAATGTAATTATTCATTAGTTGCTAAGGAACTCAAACTTCCAAAAGAAAATACTTGTATTTTTAGTGGTTTGAGAAGTAGCAACTGTGTGAAGCAGCTACCATCCCTAAGGCTAGGAGACCAGGGGGAAGAAAGTGAAATTATCTCTGAATCAAACTCAGACTGGTGTGAAGAAGGCACTACTTAGGGAGGACCACTGTCTCTGAACTTGGAGGAGAGACCTGGATACTGGGACCCACACTTCTAAGAAGGGGACACTGGTCAACTGGTGCTGATTTTCCTGAGATGTGAAATGAGGCTGGGTCTGCAAACTGTACCCTGGTTACAGTTGTTTCTACTGGAACAAACTGTAACTGCTGGGGTGAAGAAGGGAGTCTGTGTGCCACAGTCACCCCTTTTCTCTCTTAGGGTGTCCAGATTTAGTAAATAAAAATACAGGATGCCCAGCTAAATTTAAATTTCAGATCAACAGCAGATGAATTTTGAGTAATAATGTGTTCCTAGCAACAGGGGGACCTACTTAGAGTAAAACTGTATCTGTTTTTGACCTAAAAACTCAGATGTATTTGAGTGTCCTGTATTTTATCTGCCAACCCTCCTCCCATTTTTTTTTCTGTTGCCAGACCTAAAAGGTAGCAATTGGCAGAGCTGAAATGTGGTTTTCAGCATTTTCTCTCCAACATCATCAAGACAAGTACAAGGAGTGGGACAGTTCAGAACCTTGGCCCTTGACACTGTCTTAGATATTAACTGATTACTATAAGAAAATAGAAGTTAGTATAGACAATTAACAGTTTGGAAAATTCTAAAGATTCCAGAAATTTGCAATTACTAGACCATGGGGAAGAGTAAAAAAAAAAAAAATGGCGCCAAGACTCATTCACATCTCACAACCTTTTCTCTAGACTACGTCTTCATGCAATGCCTTGGAATATCATCTAGTCTTTATTGTACCATGTCAAACTTCCTCAACTCCTCCTGCCTTGAGAATCCCTGAGCAAATGGCAGTGCTGGAGCTTGTGGATGGAGCCTTTCTTAAATGGCATCCAAGTCTCCACTTTGATTTCCTATCTTGTAGAAAATATAACTATTAAAAAAACTCTGTCACAGGCTGAGGATGCAGCTCAGTTGGTAGAGTGCTTGCCTTGCATGCACAAGACCCTGGGTTCTAATCCCCAGCACCACACGCACACACAAACAAACTCTGTCATAAAATAATTAACATTGTAAGAACGAACATAACTCTAATTTATGGGGCTGGTTTCATGGACTTTGACAATACTGTTGCTTTACTGGTGGTCACTATAGCTCCTTACCTGGTATGGTGGAGAATAGTTAAGACACGTTGGGTCAGTCGGCCCCACGGTTTCATTCTGTCTCTTCTGTTCCTCCTGTCTAAATTCTTTCCTTTTGTAGATTATTGTTCTTAGCCTGCCTGATATCACATCCACCCACTTTGGCAATCATATTCCTTCTCATTGCTAGCCCTTCTCAGTTCTAGTCCAAAAGGAAAACACATTCCTATTCAAACATGATATGCTTGTTTATTGAGAAAAGCATATTTAGAAGATGATAATCTTTCCCAAATAACAGCTGAATGAGTGTAGACATAAGCCCTAAAACGACTGAGATAATTCCCCTGAGATATTATCAGTGTGCTTTTTATTTTCCAAAATGGAAATAGCTTCCATGTTTTTGATTGTGAAAGTAATATGTGTTTATTGCAGAAAGTTCAGGAAAAAGAAAAGAGAATAAAATTAAAATTATAAATATCCATCATCCAGAGAAAGTCATAATTTAGAGTTTGGAATATAATTTTATAGATATTTTTTTCTAAGATCACACAGACACACACACATGCAAGTACACACACTTGTGCACACTCCATTTGCTGTAATTATATTTAAAAAATAGTGTATTGTTCATGTTAACTAAGTTTTACTGCAGCAGTAAATTAACTCTGGATTCTCAGTGGCTTAATAAAACAAAGATTTATTCCTAGTTCATGATATTTTTCCAGCACAGGTTGGCAGGGCCTCTGCTCTACACCGCTATGCACGAGCCAAGTGAGCAGATTCGCTCTTTTGTGACTGTGCCATCTGGATCACGTGGCCTTCCTGGTTGCTGCAGGAGGGGAAGAGAGATTAGAGAATTCGGAATCAGCCCAGAAATGACACAAGTCACTTCTGTGCTTACTTCACTGGCCAGAACTAGTCCTATGATCCCACCCAACTTCAATGAAACTGAAAAAGATGGTTTTCCCGATGCCTAGAAGAGGGCGAGGACTGCACATTGGAAGTGCTAGTAATGTCTTCCACATATGGCCCATACTTTACATAACAATATATATATAGTGTAATGTTTGCAGCTACCAGTTTGTCATGGGCACGTTGCCATGGGCACGTTGCCATGGACACTGTTATTGTTTTCAGCCACTGTAGAGTATTCTTTAGTAAGGTCACACCATGTTTTATTGAAATAATTTCTTATTGATAGGTTGGTTTATTTTTTTCCTAATGAAAACAATATTGGGTAAAACATTTTAAAATATAGTCTTTGTATATTTTAATTAATAAAATCAATACAAAGTGACACTTATTTTAAATGTTCTGTTTCTTTGATTCTAGTAAGAAGAAACTTAATGTGATTCTTAGATCTTTGAATAACTTATTATTTGAATCATTACTTTATTCCCTTGGAGTGATTATCTTTTTGCCTATTAATTAATGAGAACTCCTTAGGGTTTAAGCTTATTAGCCCTTTCTAAAATATATTACAAATACTTTCCCTGTATTTTGCCTTATTACTTTTTAATAAATTTTTTAATTGTAAAAAATTTTTAATTTCCAAATTATCATACTTACTGTTCTTCCACTGTATGTATTTTGGAGGCAGGATTATTACAGATTATGAAAAATACCTATGTTGTTATTCATTATTTTAATTTTTAAAATACAGTTAAACATTTGGGACATCTCTAAATTATTTTGGCACAAAGGGAAAGGTAGAAAAGAAGTGTATTCTGAAATGGAATCAGGTAGAAATATAACCTTATATCTTCCATTTATTAAATAATCTGCCTTCCCCATTTAAAATGTTATTTTTTTTTTTTAGTTCCTGGATATTTACAGATATTCTGGACCATGTTTTTTCTGTTGTCACATCACATGGTTGTATTATATTATAATGTGGTTTAAAACTGAGAAAAAAATTCTTTTTCTTATTCCTTCTCAAAAAAATTTTTGAATATTCTCATACATTTGTTCTTTCAGATTAATGGTTCTCGAAATGTTTCATTTCAGGACTTCTACACCTTTAAACACTTCAGAGGACTTCAAAGAATTTCTGTTTCTCTGTCTTATACCTATTGATATTTCCCTTTTGGAATTAAAACAGAAAAAATTTAAATACTTATTTATTCAATAATTTAAAATAAGTCCAATATAATTACCATATGTTAATATAAATAACATAATTTTAGAATAAAGGCTACAACTTCGAAAGCACAGTAGTGTTAAGGAGAGAGAGATTGTTTTACAGTTTTGCAAATCCTGTTCAGGTCTGGCTTTATATTAAAAGATTGCTTAATTTTTACATCTGATTTATCATTTATTATTTGAATCATTACATAATGCCATATGTGGTTTTGGTTAAAGCACATGAAGAAAATCTAACTTCATGCTGAATAAGTGAGTTGTAAAGGGATATGTATGTTTACAGGTTTTACAGGAAATTATGGACATTCTTCTTTGATACTAAACCAAAAGTCAATAAGTGGTGGCATCGTAAAGGCTATTTGCAATGTGGCATCTGAAAATCACTATCAATCAAGTTTGTACTCTGTTACACTAATATCTAACCTCATCCTTTGAATGAGTCTTTTATCCACAGTTTTATAATGTTGTGTGTTAGTGATTTGGAAAATATTAATTCACTGTGTTATGCAGGTTTTCTGAATGTTGACATATTTCATTATTTAAAACATTTTAAGTCACATCCAATTGTGTCATTTGTGTCATCACATATTTCATCTGAAAACAGCAACACCACGATAATTTCAAAAAAATAAAAATAAAATCATTCAGTAGCACTCAGCAATGCCAATGTGTGAGGGTTTATTATTCTCTCCATTACTTTGTGCACTTCTTCAGCCAATGCAAAGTGATAATTTACCCTGTGAGATGCTTCAGAGGCTTATTGTTTTACTTTGAAAAGCTGTAAAACACAATTTTTGGCTCTCAAAAAGCTCATCATGCCTATTTACATATTCAACTTCTGTTTTCTTTAAACATTTGGTTTCCAAATGATGCAGCAACTTAACAGGCACCAAATATTACTTGAAAATACATTGTTACATAAACACAAAAGTGTAAATTATTAAAATCTATAAAACCAAGGAAGAAGACTGTCATACTGTTTCTCACTTATAGTTTTTCCCGGGTTCTTTGTCATAGACTTCTCCTTATCACGAGTCAGCAGTTTCTCTGATATGTCTCTTTAGTTTTTCATCAGTGTCCTTAAACTTAGATGATGCACCTGGGGGTTGAGAAAATTGGTCTTCTAGTCTCCTTTAAGACAATGAACCATCCATAAATATAATAAAACTAAGTTGTAAGCAATTTTTATTTTAATTTTGAATAAAAGGTTCAAAATCAGTACACTGTAATGATGCAGGCATACCAATGTTTATACTAGTACAAATCACAATAACCAAATTATGAAATCAGCCTAGGTGCCCATAAACAGACAATACTCAGCCTTAAACAATAATAAAATTATGTCATTTGCTGGTAAATGGTTAGAACTGGAGAACATTGTGCTAAGTGAAATAAGCCAGACTCAGAAAGTCAAGGGTTGAATGTTTTCTCTCATATACAGAAGTTAGAGATAAATAATAAAAAAAATTAAAAATGGGATCCCATGAAAACAGAAAGGAGAAGAGTGGACTACAGGAAGGGGATCAGGGAAAGGGAGGAAAATGGGAAAGGAAAAAACTACAGAATGAAATTGACCAAATCATGCTATGTGCATGTATGACTATATCACCATGATTCCCACTTTTATGCATATCTATAATCCGCCAATAAAAAATCAAGTATATAAATAGAGGAAGACCAATCTAGGAGAGGAATAGGAGCAGTAAGGAAGAGAAGGGAAGGGAAAATGGAAGTAGTGAGGATTGAAATGAATCAAATTATATTACATACCTATAATAGTACCAAAATAAATGGTACTATTATGTATAGCTATAATGCATCACCAACAAGTATTAAACAAAGAAGGAGGTCAATATCATATATGCTTGATTTACTGTTGAGTTACTAAAGATAACAACTTCTCACTGTGAAAAAATTTTAAATGAATTTTAGGTAAAATGAAAGAATTTAGAATTTTTTTCAAAAAAAATGTGAAGTCTTATTACAAAATCTGGTGAGTTTTTTTCTTATTTGTTTTTGCATAGGAACAAGGAAAACTTTGATATTTTTAAGTAATGATGTATAGGATGATAGATGTCATTGCAGACGAATAGTACATAGGAAATAATAAGAACACAGCAGAACACAGTAAAAGTACAGGAAACAAACTGAGTTAGTCAGAATGCATACATTAGTTCTCTACTTACTACCTTTGGCTATTCTGAAAGGCACACAAATCCACAGATCTACAACCTATTAGTTGTCAGATGATGACACCATTCCAAATCATAGCTTTAGGAAAACTACATTGTTTACCTGGGAGAGACTAAAAATGAAAATAGTAAACAGCATCTTACTTTAATGAAAATAACTGTGACCTGAAAAGGTGTTGGGTACATTCAGGGGTTTCATATTACATTTTAATAACCACAGTTCGAGATGATCTTTACAACTACTTTTTATCAAATTTCAAGTCAATTCCATATGGAATTTTGTAAAAATAACCTGAATTGTACAGTATTTGCAGGGAATTGATATTTTACATTTGATTTTTTACCCATTAACAAAATTTCATAATTTTTATATGACATTTTCCCATATTCTGATATGGCCATAATTAGGTATTTTTAAATTTTTGTTGTTTTTCAAGCTTCCTCTACTCTCTTAGTTTTTTAAAAATAAATTCCGTTTGGGTGAACTTATTCACTCCAACAACCTTGATTAAAAAATAGAAACATTTAGAGGACTCCAAAATCTATATCTCTAAACCTAATCATTCCCTGAGTTTCTCACACATATTTCTAACTCTCTCTCTCTCTTTAATTTTGTCATGAAAATATAGAATTCTAATATTATAGAAAATAATACATTCATCTCCAGTAAGCTAGAAGACTTTCTTTGGCAAAAATGAAAGAAATCCATTGGTTTCCATGACAACTTGACCACGAAAGTCCTGCCGCAAGTACTCTGCTAACTACAGCATAAAGTCAAGCTCCTCATAGTACCAGCAAACCTTCTGTTCAGCTTCTCACCCAGACAGCCTAAGTCCCAGACATGTCAAACTGCTTAGATTCTGGGAACATCCTGTTTGAATTCCATGTATTTTTTTTCTCTTCAGCTCAAATGCTATCCACTCTTCAAATCCTTTCTTGACACCTCCACACCTTAGGAACAGTAAGATGTTTTTGAGGTACCTCATAACTGTGCACATACCTGTTCTAACACTTATCTCATTGTATTCTCCTTATTCTGTAATCTGCTCATTTCCCTAGTCTGCAAACTCTTAGGTACAATGGATAGTGAGGGCTATTTCTCTTATAAACCTGGCTCATCGGTGGCTCCTTAATAGATGCTCTTAGAATTTAATATACAAACAAACAAACAGCATTTTAGATGCTGAACTTGCAAACTTAACCTATAAGGTGACAGGAAGTATCACAAATACTAAAATTTCAAAAATTGCCTTTGATGTCCAGAGGGTTAAGCTTTGGAAGTTGCCAAAGAGAAAATAGTTGACAGCCAGTTGTTCTATTGAATGTCTCAAACAGTTTAATTTGGATTGATTACAGCTTTGGAAAACCTGGAATCAAGGTGGGCTTTGGGAAAACACAGTCTATAATTGATGCAGCTAATGACCACTTTCAGGTCATTAGGTTATGCACGAGCACCCCTGTCCCCAGCCTGAACTGCTACAGAAGCTGCAGTTGGAGCAGCCTACTGACTGCATTTCCCCTTCAAATTATCAACAAGAGACCTCAAAGCAATAAGATTTTAACAGCCAATTAATCTCCCCGGATGATGTTTGTGTAGTACTCAGTGAGCTCCAGTAAATGAGCTCTCCATGGGCTGAGTGGCCTCACTGATTGGAAGGACACTGCATGCTAGCAACCTGGACTTACTGCTTCCAGGATGGTCAGGGGGCTTGGGTTTTCCTGGCTGGGGCCCACAGTAACATGAAGAGAAATTATTTAATAAACTCGATGAGCCACTATGGAACAACTTGTATACTAAAACTTTTCCAAATGGGCAAACCCCTTCACAGAGCTCTTTGCTGACTCTCTTGCAGGATCAGACCTGTTATGTAACAATAGTAAACCCAACTGCTTTTCCTCATGAAGAAGAAATCCAGCTTGGAGGTTAAGTACATGGGTTCTGAGGTCAGCTTGTTCCAGATCTGTGTCTGGGTTTGCCACTTAGTAGCCATGTGACATTTAATTTCCTAACTTGCAAAGTGTGAGTCACAATAATTCTTACCCCAGTGAGTTGCAATGAGGGCTAAATGAACTTATTTGGCAAAGACCTAAACCCAGTGCTGGCACATAGTAAATACCTAATTAAATAGAGTCACTATCAATAATGATGAGCAGACATCCCAGAAGGTCAAAGAGGGACCAGCCAGTTGGTCTCACCCTTAGGGGTACTTCTTCCTTTTCTTTAGCAGCATCTACCATAATCTCTATTGCAGCTGATGAATACTTCCAGTATGGAATCCAACTTGGGGGAAAATCAGAGTGCAAAAGAACTTACTGTGTCATAGTGATGAAATTTTCCCCTCAAGGGCAAGCTCGTGAAGAATAGGGGACAGAGTCCACAGAATTCACTTGGAGTCCTGCCTACACATGGGATGCATATTCTGCTGAGCACCTGAAAGGCGAATATTCTCTCTCCTGTCCTCCTCTCTTCCAGCTGGGTGACTTTCTGAGCGCTCAAACCAGAACACTAACAGGAAAATCCCCCTTCCTCATCTCATTATATAAAGAGCTCCTTGAGAGCAGAGATTGTCCTTAATTATTTTTAATGTACACTTTTTGTTTATTCACTGAGAAAAGTACACAAGTCATATGGTTTAATCCTCATAAATTTCCCAACAAAAACATATCTGTGTAATCAGTGCTCAGATCATAAGAAGGAACATTACCAGCTACTTGAAAATACTCCCTACCCCAGGTCACCTCCCAGTCACTAACTTTCTCTAAAGATAGTAACCATTCTGTTTGTTCTTTTTTTTTAAAACTTAGAACTGAGTATAGAAGTTATCATTGAATATGAAGGATGAACTGAGTATAGAAGTTATCATTGAATATGAAGGATGCTTGGAGTATGTGCACAAAAGAAAGGTGGAGTGCAGTGATACACAGGAGTTTAGTTCTACTACTGTAAGCAACTTCACTTCCATCTACACTGCATGTTACATGAAGCTACAGCCTGCTTTTTCACCCTTGTCTTCAATTCTGAAGCATTCTCATTCCTTGTTCTCTGCACAGGGATTTGTCCTGACTCCCCCCTTTTAATTGTCAGTCTTCTTTTCCCTGTTCTCTTCTTAACATTCAGTGTCATTGAAATGCTCTAAGTTCTCCCCATAGTATGAGTTAAATTTTCTCATGCCAATGAGCTGGAACTGGAAAATGTACTTCATTAAAATACTTTGGATGGGCTGGGATTGTAGCTCAGTGGTTGATCCTGAGCACCACATAAAAAAATAGATAAATAAAATAAAGGTATTATGTCCATATACAACTAAAAAAAATTTAAATTCTTTAAATGAACCATTTGCCCAACATGGTTCTAGAAGGATGACATATTTCTCCTATGACTTATTGCCTGTTTTCAAGGTGCTTGCAACCTAATTGGGGAGAAAACACAAATATGTGAAAATTAAATAGCTGCATGGTCCAAATATAAAAAACAAGCTGACATGTATGAGTAAAAGGTAAGAAAGAATTAGGAGAGAGTGATCCATCAATAACATAAACAGCACAGAAAGGTGTTACATCTTTCATCACTAATCAATAGTATTCAAAGCAAGAAACATCATTTACTCTGAGAAAAAGACAGGAGTTTTCAAATACAGAGAACCCCTTCATTCCCAGCAAAAATATCAACAATGAAATCTACACCTTTGAACAAGAATGTGAAATTTCAGGATATTATGTATAAAGAAATAATTGAAAATCTTTCAAGAGTCAACATTGGGTCACGTGGTGCAAGAACAAGCATAGAATCATATTTTCCACAAATGAAAGTTGAAACTTAGAAGGTAACAGAATTAAATTGTGAATTTTATGAGGAAAATTATTTTGATCTTTGAATTTTATATGTAGCCAAATTATAAGCCAAGAG